AGTCTTGTTGGTCAGTGCCTGGGTGCCTGCATCCCATGGCCTAGGCATCCTCAACTCCCCCTCTTTCCCAGCCAGGCCTCCATCTGTGCATCTGCCTGGGAGGTTTTTCTCTCCACTTCTTCATGCATCAAACTTTTATTGACAATTCAAGACCAAGATTAGAGATCCTTCATTTGTGGAGCTTTCTGAGCTCATCTGAGCAGTTAGTCATTCTCTCCTCTGTTGTAGCTGCTATTCATACCTTTATTACAATACCCATCTTCCACACGTGTTGGAATAATCAATAGACCTGCACCTGACCACTTTTCCCTCTATCTGACCATAGGCTCCTCAAAGTCAATGAGCATTAGTTGGTCATCATTAAGACAGAAAAACAAACAAACAAACAAACAAAAACTCTGTGGGGAGAGGGGAAAGAAAAGAGAGAATGTATTTACTTAAGAGCTTCTGATACAAACAGTGGACTCAGCATTATAGGCAAAGAACGCAACAAGTCAGCAAGAACTCTTTGACAGCTGTTTGATTTGAAAATGGTTATCTGATACATTTCAGGACTTTGCAAATGACAAACAGTAACGTGTGAGCACCCTACCGGAAGCTGTCAACATAATTTACGTAATTATAGAAAACATTTAAGTAACTAATGACATATGACTGCATATCAGTGTCAGGAATAGTTATATAAATCAGAAGGAGAGCTTTTTGAAAGTGTACTTAAAATGTCAAAATTCTTATTAGTTCTATTTCAAAACATCTAAAGAAATCAAAGTCTGGAGACAAAGATGGAAATGCATGAGAGGAAGTGGATTCTGTGAATTTAGAAAAAGAAAAGACCTTAAAGCAATAATGTTGAGAATAGAAATGGGGTGATTTTGAAGGTTCTTTTTTAATGCAATTAGATTTTCTTCAAGGAAAGTAACATTTGAAATGGAGGAGGGTTCCTAAACTTGTTTTGACCATCACGGATGACTTATCTTTTCATATAAATCACAGCAGATAATAAATATCTTGATGTGATGATGGAAAGATATTTGTAGCCATTAGATTTATATCTTTTAAAAATTATTTTGAATTTTTGGCCAAAGGAATATACTTAGATTTTATTTATGTTAAGGTATAAAACCAGAATGTTCATAGTTAAAGTTTCATGAAAACCTATTTTTGTGCTCCTTTTTACTGGATGGTTTCCATTTTGCAGCAGCACATTACAGAGAATTCAAAATTATTCCACTATATGCTGTATCTAAATATGGGTGTGAGCTCTAACATTTAGCAGCCTGACTGTACATCCCATCAGCTCCCCCAGTGGGAGGAGGGTGGAAGGGAGCTAGTGACATCTTTCTTCTCTTAACAAAGAACCCACAATGCTAATTCTCACATTTCTCACCCATCCAGATGGATTCCTCATTTTGCAGTCTGCCATCCATAGTATGAAGGAGAAAGAGCTTGGCCAGGTGCAGGAGAGGACATATTTGCTGGGCACTGGGTACATTATGTGTGCTCCATACATGTGATTTGTACAACCTTCATACGGGTATGATTATGATTCTCATTTGACAAATAAAAACACCAAGGCTTTGTGACTTTCCTGAAGTCACATGTTATCAAGTGACAGAGCCAAGGTTTGAGTCCCTGTGTGTTTGGCTCTGCAATCCCTCTGTCAGGATGTTTCCCTTGTAGCTAATCCCAGACAAAGTTATAACAAAGCAAAGATTGGTGTTGATGCCACTTCCCCACTTTTCTTTTTTTGTTTTGCAGTTTTTGGCCGGGGCTGGGTTTGAACCCACTACCTCCAACATATGGGGCCGGCACCCTACTCCTTTGAGCTACAAGCACCGACTCCCACTTTTCTATTTAATTCCTTACCCTCTCATGTAATGATTGTTTTGATTCTGCTTAACCCAATCTTCTTAGGGCACCACTACTATTACTGCTGATAATACCAGTTTTCATAGTTATTATTATTATTAACTTCAACAATAATATCTCAGCTCACATGTTTCCAGCTCTTAGAAGCCAGATATAATGCCAAATACATTACATAGATTATCTTATGTAATGGTGCTATTAATATCTTTATTTGTAGATGA